CCTTCTCCAAGACACTGACTCTTGGGAGATCTCTCCATCTAGGAGCTAGAGGTGTAATGTGAGCCCAAACGTGTTATCCAGGCAGAGGACAGCAGTCTGCCAATGCTGTTATCGTCCCAATTCCAGCATCAGGTCTGTCTTTGAGACTGAAGATTTTTTTTGGCTCTATTGTGCTGTTGCTGGTGGGAGAGGGAAGCTGCTCCAGACAACATGGAGGGCATGGTGAAGAGATACTGTGTTGAGTTCCTCTAAAAAGGGAAGCAGGGGAAGTACACCCAATTGTTTTTCATGAAGGAAGCATGTAGTTTTCAAAGGCAGGCTTTTAGAAAGTAGGAAATACAGAATTAGTGCTACCAGCTCAGCCTTTGTTAAACTTTCTCCTGGGATACTGTTAAGTGAAATCTTCGATTAAACAGTCCTGTGCTTGTTGTGTTGCATGGACTCTTGCTCAGGTTGTGTATGGGACACAGCAGTGAGGGGAAAATGGGGTTGTGAAACAAACTGAATGGCAGGTAGGAGTGCAGATGGAGCTGAATGTATCCAGGGGCCTTTGCTTTTTTTGCCCTCAGGACTTGACATTGTTCTCTTAGTTTCTACTAACTGGCTGCACTTTCTTTGTTGTATGCATGAAGACTGTCTTGCAGAACTGGCCAGCCAATATCTCTGAAATAAAGGAAGAGGATGTCAGTGATGAGGAAGTGACGGGTGTGCAGGAGTTACCCTCAGAGCTGCCAGCTGCTGAACTGGCAGAGCATAACGCTGAGGAGACCCCAGATGATGCGGTGCCTGAGGAGGCCTCTACATTTGTCGCATCACCGTACAAATGGGTTGTTGAAGCTGACAACTACTTATACCCAACATCTGTGCCAGCCTTCAATGAAGCTCTGGACATGATTGAATCTGTAAGTAACAGACCCTTGCTCCTCCAACTAGTGTAGGGAGACTAATTCACACTCTTTTTCCATGAGTGATCTTACTTGGTCTCCTTGCTCATCACCATGGGCATCCTGAGGAGGGCTGGATCTGTCATTGCTTCTCAGCATCTCTTTTCTGGGACTGGATTAGACCTTTGCAGCTCTGCCAGTGTTGCTCTAGGCTTGCAGACTCCCCTAGGCCGGTGGGCTTGTGCATGGTCTCTGCTGGTTTGGGAGGCTGTAAATGCTGTCAAACCTGATCTCAAGCCCTCTTGTATCAGTCAGAGTTTCCCCAGCTCTCCCTTTCGTAACAGTTCAGGCCTGTGCTTGTGGGCTTTCCTTTCCCTCTTGTTGCTGGATGGAATAGGACCGGACAGACCCAGAATTGGCCAGGCCGACTTGTAGTATGCAGAACAAGACCCCCTTCACACTGGATGGCAGCCCCATTTTGCTTTCAGTGGAGGTGCCTTCACTGAAAGTAGTAATTTTGGGCCAGTCAAGCAGTGCTGAAGTCATCAGGGTAATGGAGGCACACCAGGGTGGGAGGCTGGCTAGAATCTACAGAGCACTTTGCTGCCATCAGAGGGAAGTCCTGCAGCCCCCACTCTGCCTGAGATCATGAGCTGATTATCCGTGAAGGATCCACTTTGCATGTGTATAGGAGTACAGAGAGTCCCTGACCAAAGGTTAACGGCCCATTTGTGGGTCCTTAGGGGCATGCTTGTTATGGTGCTTTGGGTTTTGGTGGGGTTGAGCTGTGAAGCAGCTGATCTCAGAACTGGTCTGGTTATTTTTAATCTGCTTCCAGCTGTATGTTACAGCAGAGCCGTGTCCAGCTGTACTGGTGTGCCCAAGACTGGTTTTATGTTGGGTGACAGTCGCTTCATTCAGCCCCTATCCCCAGCTGCTTTTTTTGTCCCCTATGTGTGGGGGTGCAGCTGTTTGTGCAGCTGTGCTGTGAGCTGAACTGGGAAACCAACCTTGCATAAATAAAAAATTCTGCTCTGTGCAGAAGCAGCAGCTTTCGGCTGGGTCATTTCCCTGCTCTGGTTCTCAGCTGTGTTGGCAGCAGAGGGGAGCAGGGCTTGAGCTCTCTAGCCAGGCTCCTTGCGAAAGCTGGTGCAGTCTCACACACCCACTTATTTCACCTCCCAGTTCATCTCTGCATCTGCACCAGTCAGCTGCTCAGCTTTCCTTCCTGGGCTGCTTCTGATGGTTTCCCTTGTGTGCAGGACCCAGACGGGTGGTGTGATCTGACCCAGTTTGACCTGCCTGAGGAACCCTCGGCCAGCAGCAGCAGTAGCAGCAACAGCCCGGTGAGGCAAACCCCCAGCAAGCCAACACCGTCCCTGCCCAATGTGACTGAGTACCGCCTGGACGGCCACACCATCTCTGACCTGAGCAAGAGCAGCAAGGGGGAGCTCATCCCCATCTCTCCACACGCCGAGGTGAGCTTTGGCACACCACCCTCTGTGCTGAAGAGGCAGAAGAAGAGGAAGATCTCCCTCTCCCCTGTCACGGAGAATGCCACCAGCACAAGCCTTTCTTTCCTTGACTCCTGCAACAGCATGACGCCCAAGAGCACCCCTGTCAAGACACTGCCCTTCTCTCCATCTCAGGTATGGATCAATGGCAGAACCCAGTCTATGCCACTCTGCCTGGGCTTGGTTGTGAGCTAATAAGCAAGTTAATGCTCCATCTGCTTGTCTTAATGCCATGCATTCCCATCAGCCCTGTCAGCTTTGTCTTTCTTTTCTCTTGAATGAGGGTGCTTTGTTGCTGCATTCTCCAGTATGGTTCCCACAGCTGCTCAGTTGTTCAGACCTTGTCTAACTGTGCCTTTCAGGCCTTTATTTCTGCTGTTTCTGCAGCCCTGGGTGGCACATGGGAGAACACTGCAAGACAGTCTGACACCCAGATTCAGGTGGACCTTGAATGAAAGGCCGTTCCTTACGGGAGTAAAGTTGTCACTTATCAGCTGTTGTGCAGTAAAATCCTAGCAGAGATGAGACAGTTTGTAATTCTCTCACAGTTTAGGCTCAAGATAGCTCAATGCAAAATATATTAACTTGTATGCAGTTGTGTTATATGGACTTCCCTCATGTTTGCCAGTCTGAGGCCAGAATAGACCTTTGGTGGCCTGGCATTACCTTCCTTTACCACTTTGCTTGGCCTTGTCTGAACCAGTGCAAGGAGAGACTTCTCTGCCACCCTGTAGCTGCTTCTAGTCATATCAGCCCATCCTGTATGGGAGGTGAATAATCATGGATGTGAGGTACCTTCTGGCAGCTCTCGTGTGTCCGTGTACAGGACTGTGTGAGTCTGTAAGAGTCATCCTGGTTTATACTGGGACAGATCCCTCTTGTGCCACTCAGTATGCAAGGATTGTCCCTACTTCAGGTTTTCTCCCATATTTAGGAAAGAGTAACAACTTCTTTTTCTTTTTTTTCCTGTGCTGTGCAGTTCTTGAACTTTTGGACCAAACAGGATACACTAGAGCTGGAGAACCCGTCTCTGACCTCCACACCTGTGTGCAGTCAGAAGGTGATTGTCACCACCCCTTTGCACAGGGATAAGACCCCTCTGCTCCAGAAGAACTCAGCGTAAGTCCTTTTTCTCCTGCATCTTCACCTGAGCAGTGTCCTCTTCCACACAGGACTCTGGTCCAATTCAAACATACCTCACTCGGTATTTGTGCTGGCACTACTGAGAGAAGGGTCGGGCAGGCTGGGAATTTCCTTAAATCAGTGTTTTCCCCTCAAAGGCAGTTTCTCTCTGAGCTGCAGGGAGCAAGTGTCCCATCTGTTTGGGGCTGCAGCCAAGTGACCACCGTTGTGCTCAGCTGCTGGCTGGGCTGTTGCCTTCTGTGCATGTCTTTGGGAAGTGTTGCTGTACTGTGTGCCCTGTGCCAGCAGCAAAGGGATTTGATTTCCTCAAGAAGAGCTGTTCAGATCCATCCCTTAAGCTCTGTACCCTTTGCTTTGATTGCTCTGAGGGACAGCCCAGGACAATTATTTCCCAAGGCACTGTACCAGGTGGGTGAGAAGGGCTGGTCTGCACAGGGAGTGTTTTGCTGACGGACTGAAGCAGCATGGTGTTTATGGATGCTGGCTGCGCTAGCAAAACCACTCTGTTGTTGGCATGGGCCAGAGCAACTCCCTGTCCAGGCGGTGTAAGCTGGCTTGGCTGCTCCAAGTGCATTTGCACCTAGGACTTCTGCTGGTACAGCTGTGACTGTCACGAGCCCATGCTGGGCCTGAGCAGATCCACCAGCAGAAGCATTGCAGAGTATGGCTGGCCTGCAGAGCTGCGTGTTGCCTGTGTCAGGGTGCTGTACTGCTTTCTGACAAGGGGGCTCCTCCATGCCTCTTTACCCTGCTCACACCCCAGAAACAGTCCAGCAGGCAGGTGGCTTCTGCCACCATGTGAAACTGCAGGTGGTATGTGTAATGAGGGGCCTTGGAAGGATGTGGGTTACTTTGTGTGAGTTACAGCATGTCTGATCCTTCATCTTTCCCCTCTCTCTGCTGCCAGGTTTGTCACACCAGATCAGAAGTATGTGGTGGACAACACACCTCACACCCCCACGCCTTTCAAAAATGCCCTGGAGAAATATGGACCAATTAGGCCTCTGGTGAGTATTGGGCAGGTCTGTTGCTTGCTTATGGCACAAACATAATGCGAATGAGATGTGGGTAGGTTGCAGCAGAGTTGTGAGCCAACTGTTATCTGTGCCATAACAAACTACAGTTTGGTAGTGCCAGGCTGAGATGGGAGGGATGAAGGGAACTTCGTCATGGTAAGTAGCTACAGGACTTTTAGCTACTCTGTAAACCAGCTAAAAATGCCAAAAACTGTCCTTGAGTCAGACAGCAGTGCTTGGCTACTGATGACCTTCAGGAAAAGCAAAGAAATTATCTACCTAGGCATCCCTGAGGAACTGTCTCTTAATGTGAGTGTTGTGGTGATGACAGTTTCCATCCCAGGACTTCTGTGTCATTTGGTGTTCAGCTGATAAGTCTCTCATGCCTGAAGAACCTGTAAATTTGTCAGGCTAGCAGAAGTCTTGTCATATCTTTTCTCACTAGGAAGTAAGTTGTCTTTGTGTTTGTACTCTCAGTGTGGACTCCCCTGACCCCATTAACCCTTAAAGGAAATGCTTGTGGGTCTGCCTAGAGTATAGATTTTGACTGTCTTGTGCTCTCTCTTTGCCTTTTCGCACCAGCCCCAGACTCCTCACCTGGAAGAAGACTTGAAAGAGGTGCTCCGAAGTGAAGCTGGCATTGAACTTATCATAGAGGATGATGTGAAGCCTGAGAAACAGAAGAGGAAACAATGGGTGAGCTGATTTTGCATCTAATACCGGCTGCTGAGCTGCCCTGTGCTGTTAAGGGGTGTTTTGGCTGGTTTTGTTCATCCTGTTGTTGATGCCAAAAAGTTTTTAGCTCATGGCTGCTCCTTTTAATCAGCAAGAGGTTAAGGCCTGCTTAAAATACAGCCAGCTGTGTCAGTTATGCTGAACTCAGGGCATACTAGGAGATGCTGTGTCCCTAAACTGCAGGAGACACCCGTGGCACACTTGGAGCTTTTGTGGCAGGTTGGGCTCCCAGAAGGCTGTGGGCTGGTGTGCAAAACCTCAGTTGCTCTAGTGGCTTTCCTACTGAACGGGGCTTTCTCTTCTAAGTTGGTGGCTCTTGGTCCTAGGAGAGCACTGGAAGCTGCTGTGCCCTGTGGTGGGGAAGGCTGTAACATGCCTTCCAGAGGTGCTGGTGCAGTGCCAGACCTGGGTGACGTGGGCTTGGTGTGCACCCTGGGTCTTAGGGATGGGGCTTGGCTGGATTGATTAGTGTTTCTCTGTGTCCCCCAGTTGCGCAGGAGTCCCATCAAGAAGGTCCGAAAGTCTCTGGCGCTTGATATTGTGGATGGAGACATGACACAGAATACGCCTGGCCTCCCCAAGACTGTCTGTTTCAAAAGAGCCCAGGTGAGGGGTGCTGTGCTCAGAGCAGGGGCAGAGCTGGCTGCTTCTTCAAAGAAATCCATGCAAAGCAGTGGTGGGAGCTTTGCCACCTCTGGCTGCCATTGAACAGTACATGTGAACATGGATGAGGGGCTGGATTTGTTAGCTGGCCTTTTGACTAGACCATGTATCAGCACTGTTAGGGCAAATGAACTTATTTCTTTATACTCTTTTGCTTTTTCCCCTTTGCAGCCTGTGAATTTCCTGTCGAGGTCCCTGAACATTTCCTCCTCGAGCAGGAAGAATGACAGCGGTTTGCTCAACAGAGCCTTCGTGCAAGTGCAGCCAGAGAAGATGTCCTACAGGAAAATGCCGAGCCATTTCAGACCACCAGCACCGGTAAGCCCTGTAGCCACTGTTCTCCCAGTCAAGAGGTTTGCTGGTAGCAGAGCCAGTGTTCCTCCGGAGGAGGAGCAGCAAGAGGATGAAGTTCTGTGTACTCCTGCATGGGCATCCCTTGCTGTCAGGACAGTCTTTGCACCAAGGTTTGGAGCTGCTGAGCCAGTGGTGTCATGCTACAGCTTCCTCGTGTCTTTGCAAACCTGCTCTTCTGCTGGGGCTCAAAGCTCAGTGCCTGATCAAACTGTGGCCTCCTTAGCATATTTACCCCTGTATTTCCTCATGGGAATCTGCATCCTGTCCCAATCCATCAGAGAATTTGGATGGTTGGTCCAGCAGTGAAGTAAACCTTCCTTTGTCTAGTGTGCGCTCTGTGGGTGGACAGCACATCTTTTTTTGTTTCTCTGGGCATAGCAAGTCTATGAAGTGCTAAAAAAAAAAAAGTGCTTCCCACCCCTGTGATTTTTAGGGTGTTTATAGGTTTTGGCTAAGGCTGTGTGACTTGGTATACCTGGACTCTGCCTGCAGATATACCAAGTGCATTAGTGGAGGGGTATCCTTGCTTTGTTAAGCAGCATGGCTTAGAGAAGGGGATTTGGACCATGATTTTGCAAGTGTTTGCTTGAGCCAAGTTATGGGAACCCTCTGGTAGCTTGAATGAGGCTGGAAATATATGCTGTCCTTGGTGGGGGATGAAGCTGCAACTTGGGGTGAGTATGGGGGTGTTTTCACATCCTAGGAAGAGCCCAGGTTTGGTGTTGCCTTCACTGAGCAGCCTTGGCTCAGTCTTCATGAAACACTGCAGCAAGGATGGTTGCATCTGTCCCTGGATTAGAGCTGTCTGTTGTGAAAGCTCTTCCTTCTGACAAAGTAGCACTCCTCAGCCAGAGTAATTCCTTCCCCTTCTCAAAATAAACCCTACTTAAACGCTTCCATTTCTTCTCCTGTCCTAGACAGGGTTGTGTTGCTCTGAGAGCTAATAGATCCATATAAATAAAGCTTTGGGAGTGACTTGAAGGTGACAGTAAGGCAGTTTGCATGGTGACAGAGTACAGGTGTGCAGTGAAATCCCTTTGCCCAAAGACTGCAGAGCTGTGTGCAGTGTTGCTGAGCTCTTGGGATTTATTGTGCCAGACTGGTGTTGCTAGCAGTGGCAGTTACTTATGGAGGAAGCTGACCTACCTATGGGCTGAACCGAAATCAGCCTCAAAGCCATGCTGTGGCTGCACGGGGCGTTGTTACTCTAAGCAAATGCTGAAGCTTGAGCTCTGGTTCTTTGCAGTGCATGTAAATGGGTATTTCCAGTTCAGAGCACTGTGTATGTCAGATACATTTATCAGAGGACTTGCAGGAGTTTTCCTGGAGTGCAAAAAGACCTTTTATGGGTGCTCTTACTGCATGCAATGAGTGAAGCACACCTGATTTTCAGCTGTTTCTGTGTGCTGTGGGGCCTTGCTGAAACTGAAGGCACTCTGACTGATCTAAACCTGGGACTGAGCAGCTCCTGTAGGAATTGGACTGGTTGGGAATAACCTGCAAAGCTGTTCTTGAATTCCTTCTATCCCTTGTAATCCCTTCAGCGCAAGGAGCCTTAGTGGATTTGTGCCTTGGGGTTTTTGTTTCAGGCTGAGTAAGGGAAAGTCCTGGAATGGAGCACTCAGCTGGGAAGCTGCTGAATGTAACCCCCCTTTGCTGGAAGTGAGCGTCTCAGCTGTCATGAGCAACTGGCGGTGTGCAAAGGTGCTCCTAAGTCTGAAGTTTTATTTCCCTTTGGTAGTAGATAGCTGTTAGTTATAGTTACTTTTGCAGTCTATTAAAACAGGATGTTGACATTGTGTTTGTCTTTTCCCTTAACTATATTGTACATGTGTTTTCTTTTCATCTGTAGATGACCAGGGCTTGGAAAGCAGTGGCCTGTGGTGGAACCCGAGACCAACTCTTCATGCAGGAGAAAGCCCGACAGTTTTTGGGCATGTTGAAACAGTCTCACACATCAAGGACCTTAATCTTATCATGAAGGATTGTTCTGCTTTTTTATTTTATTTTTTAATTTTTTTGTAAGTGGAGAGGAAGGGGAACCACAGGAAAAATCTCCTCTGCCAGGCCAAAGTGTGTGGGGGTGAATTTTTCTTCCTTCTGTTCCTGGGTAGATCTGTATTGTAATGAATTGGGCTAATTGCTGGGTAATGTATGAAATGCAAGTTTTGGGATCCTTATGGAAAGGCAAACAAGGGAGGGTGGAGAGCAAACTGCAAGACCTCTCTGCAAGACCTGGTTTCTGCAAAAGCAGGAGCACGCAGCCCCGTTCCACCTTGGAGCAGCACACACAGCAGGCGGCGGAGACCGGCCTCGCAGCCTGGATTTCGTGCCAGCTGCTCTGGTACCTCAGGAACGGCTTTTGCAAAGGTTCCTGCACGTCTCGCAGCTCCCCTTCCAGCTTTCCCCGGGGATGCTCCCTCTTCAAATAAATGATGGTGCTAACATCACGCTGTTGCTTGGACTCTGCCTGTGGCCTCGCAGCACTTGAAGGGAGGCTACGCTGTGCTGACGTGGCGAGGTGCAGAAAAGTGCTGGTTTTCATGTGGGATCTTTTGTTTCTTGGCAAATGGGTGAATTTGTTAGTCTGGCTGGGGATGTTTTTCCCCTTGCTCTCAGTAGTTTATTAGCTGTTTAGGAATGGTTTAGGTTACTTTATGGGAAGGTGCTGGAGTATGTTGAGCTCAGCGTGGCTGGGATCTCTGCAAAGTTGCAGGGGTGGATGGAGACTGCAGAGAGCTGTGGACAGGACAGCACCAGGAGCATGTGATGTAGCAGAGCCTCTTCCTCCTTTGGAGGCCAAAGCTGTGTCCATGTAGCTGTTTCATTGTGATAACAGTAATACCGTGTGCTGTTTCAATGTAGCCAAGGATGAAATGCAGTGATAGTAGCTGTATATTATCTCTTAGCAATTGGAAAGATACTGGAAATACTGAAGAGCAGCTCTCCAGTTAAACCAGCGCACGAACAGCTCTTTGTGTGATCCCTCTTTGGAGCTGCGGTGTGGTATTGTCCTTTAAGCCACAAAAGCCCTTGTGGCAGATCTGCCTCTGGCTGGGGGTGGCAGCACAGCAAAAGGTGTGGGGAGGGGATCTGCTCACCCCTGTGCCTCTTAATGGGGTCACTGTCCCAAGTCCCTTCCCAGGGTGGAAAAGCAGCAGAGCTGTGTAAATCTCACTTCAGGTTGTGGCTTACATTAGAAATAAAGTAAAAAAATCCTTGCTGACAAACTTGTTAATAAAACCTCGGATCCTGGGAAACAAGGGAGTTTTAGAAACCCAGCTCATTTTTCATTTCTACAAGCTCTGGGCCAAAGTAAACCATGAAGTCATTTTTATTTCTGTTTCTTAGTGCTGCAGTATTTGCTTTGGGAAGACGGCTGGGACCACTTGTCTGAAAGCCGGGCTTTAGCTGCTTCAATTCTGTTGTTGTTTTAAGAGAAATCATCATAAAGCCATCCCTCTCTGCTCAGGATTTAGCAGGCTTGGCTGTTCCTGTGCTGAGTGACTTTACAAAACCAAGTCCAGAATCGCATTTCCTTCCTGGAGCCAATGTGAGCTGGGAGTCCTGAGCAGGCAGAGTCCACCAGAGAATAAATAGCTCAGCACATATGGTTGGGAGCTGCCCCTAAATTAAAGGATTATGAAGCTGAAAAGTATTAACTGCTGCTCCAGTGCTGTAAATCCAGATAGTGCTGGGTGTCCCGCATTGCAGGGTACTTATTAAGAAAGATTGAGGGGCAGAAAAATACTGAGGGAAATAAGTAAGGCCTGGCATGGTTAATGAGTAAAAAGACACTTAGCTTTTAATTGGAAAATGGAGCTGGTGTGCATGTTACCAGCTGGGCTTGGGAATAGGTACTGTTCTGCAAGTGGGGAAAAAGGCCTCCCTTGCCTTGGTTTTTTGTTAATTTGGATGCTTTGCTTTATTTCCAGTAAAAATCTCGTAGAGGTTGAACTTCCCATTGGCTGTGGAGTCGCTGGACTGGAGCTGGAGACTCACTCTGGGACCCGTGTCCCTAGCGATGCACTGACCATCATCCTTACAAAGCCTCTGCAGTGACCCAGCCCTCAGCTCCATGGTGCTCATTCACAGAAACCTGGAAATTTAATTTAGCTTTAAATGAAAGACTGGTACAAACGAGTTGGAGGGGCTGCGGTGCCTCTGCCGTGTAGGAGGAGTCATCCCTTCCCATGGTCTGGCTTGCTGGAAAGCTGCAGAAGTCCTGCGTTGCTCCTTTATTTTAAACTTTATATTTGCTTTTGGTATCTTGCATTCCTCAGCAGAGCAGATGACCCCTTGTTTGAATCTAGACATGGAAAAAAATTTTATGTTTTTTACTTGGCAGGGATGAGAGGGGAATGGCAAGTGGGACATTGCTTCCAGCTGGGACAAGCCTTGGAAAAGATGGGGAGAGCAGAAACATCGGAGTAAGGACAGAGAGAGAGTGCACCCAGGCTTTTTATTAGCAGGTTTCCTTCAGGATGGAGCTGGGTGGTGCCTGGCAGGGCAGAGAGGTGCTGAGCTTGCAGGGCTCTATGGCCAGCAGCATGGGACCTGCTGTCTGTCCCTCAAAGGACCCTCATCTGCTGGGCTTGCTCCTGCTGAGTAGAGGGATTTCACAGCCTTTTTATCTTGTTTTCACAGCTAATTCTGCTAAAGTGCTGTGCAAACCGCAGGTTGCTCACAGGGGGATTTTTGGCAAGGCACCCCTGTGTAGAGCTGTCCCCGCACGCAGCCGCAGAGGGATGCAGACAGTGAATGAAGTGGTTTTTTTCCTATTTTGGGTATTTCCTGTGACTAAAGGAAATAAAAGACAACAGCCCTGGTAAAGCAGGTGCTTTGCCTGCTCCCATGGGCACAGCTGTGCTGGCCGGGTTTGCACTGTGGAACACTGCAGCTGTGGGAAAAGCTGCTGACCTGGGTACAACAACGGGCGCAACCCAGCCTTGCTCCGCTGACCTCGCTAACACAGTACTTGGTTACTAATGTGGTGGCACAGAGCAGAGTAAATTGCAGAGCATGAAATGATGAGTATTTCTTTGCAGGCATATGGAGGTTTGAGTTGGAGCATAACTTGTCACCGCCGGATGTTTCCACGAAAGCATGGCGAGGCTGTGGTTGTGCATGGAGGGTGTCCGGTGGGTTTGTCCTCCCAGTTCCCGTGTTACAGGGCTGTCGGTTGCACTGGGAGCATCTCAACCCCCAGTGTTTCCAAACTCTCCTGTTTGGGAGCTATCTCTGCTCTGCAGAGGATGCACAGGTATCCTGCTCCATCCCTGCTCTCCTGCCTTCCCAAGTGGGGCAGCAGGGTTTCCCAGGCTGTGCTTGGGGGCAGAAAGAGATTAATTTCTCATTGAATTTTGGTTAAATTTGAGTTGGTTACACCTTGAGGATGTTTCATGAACTTTATCACAGCTTCGTGCAGGAAGGGAGCCTGCATTAGACCCTCCGTTGGACTCTGCAATGGGGACATGGGGATGCCGAGGTCAGGGTGGGTGGCTGGGGCTTCTGCTGCGCCAGAAAATGCTTTGACTCTGGGCATTACTCAAAGCAGCAAAGTGCCACCTCTCCCGCCTTTGCTTTATGGTATTTATTGAGCAGTTGCTAAGCAATAACCTTGTAAAATTTCCCATGTGCTTTTTTTGACACTCTTAACCTGTGGGTTTAGAGGTTTAGGAAATTAAAAGGACAACTTTAGCCTTGCAGATATGTGCTGAGGGTTAGCTGAGCAGCTCCTGGATTTTGCGAGAGATGGAGACCACAAATGTTAAAAGCTGGCTGCAGCTGGACAGGAAAGGAATTGTGTTTGGAAACTTCAATTTTACTTTTTTTTTTTCCCCTCCCCATTTCTGGAGTGAGAAAACTGCAATTCTTCATCACCACTAATATGGAATAATAAAAGATTAAATTGTGGTATGAGGTCAGGGAAAACAGTTTGCTGTGGAAACCGAAGGGTTGAGAGTGAGGAAATGAATGTTTCAATTTGGAAAATGCTATAAAAGAAAACTTTCAGGGAGTTAAAAGCCCCTTTGTGAAAAGACTCCACAAAACTGCCAGGGGGCAGGCGCAGAGTCACCTCCCCCTGCCATGGGCAGTATCTGGCTTGTAGGTGAGTAGCTGGCAGAGGTCAAAGCCATCACCTGGATCAGATGTGACTTAGTGACCCCATAGCTTGTGAAAGGTAAATTTATTACTTTATAGGGGTTTTGATTTGTAAATGCATTAGGCTTTTGGTTTGGGGGTTTTGTTTGTTTGTTTTCAAAATACTAGACAGATGTAGGAAAATAAATAGAAATAGCATTCCTAACTCCCTTAAGTTTGGATTTTTGGTTGGTTGGTTTTGGAAATCTCACTCAAAGCTTTGACTTCGAGCGAAGCAGGCAGCCCAGCAAAGGATGCCCTGCGTCACTGTTGTACAGTGATGCCTCTTAAGATGTGACTTTCTTCTTGGTTTGGTGGGGGGTCCTCTTTTTTTTTGATGCAAATGCACTGTGTCCTGTCCTGAGTTCTGCCAGGGGCCCCGAGCTGCCGAAAGCCCCCAGATCTACCCAGTGAAGACAGTGCTTTGGGCCAGGACATGGGGTGGCATCTCCCTTTGGCCGGGGGGATGATCCACCACCTTGCACCAATATTCACCCCCACTCTGCATATTTTGGTGTGTGAAGCTGTGTTTTTACAGTTCTGCATCTGCAGAGCTGCCCCAGCAGCAGTGCTGGGGTCAGTGCTACCAAGTATTTCTGTGTGGGAAGAGTGCTGCTCTGAAAACCTCGCTATCTAATTAGAGTCTGCAGCCCTGCGAAAATAAAGCCTGTTACCTGTATTTGTGCAGCAGGTAATGGGGGCCAAAACTGGTGTCAGATCTGCCCAAAAGGACTAGATAAGGGGGGGGGAAGTAGTAATTTTAGATTCAATTCCACTGATATACTTGTCTATTTCCAGGGTTGGAGTAAATTGGGGTTTGATTTAAGCCAAAGCAGCCCCAGTTAATGACTAAATTGTCATTTCTCAGGCCCTGCAGAAGCAGACAAACACAAAATCGGTATTTTCTCTAACTGTTGCTAAGTTTTCTTCACAGATTAATTTCTGCCGAAGAATCCCTGCAGCCGCGGGTCTCTGGAGCCCTTCCTGCCCCATGGCTCCCTCCGGGT